GATTGAGGAATCGAATTCACCGTGGTGTAGTCCCGTGGTACTAGTCCGGAAACCAGGCAAAGTCAGGCTGTGCATAGATTCCAGGAAGGTGAACGCGGTCACCAAGAAGGCCTCGTATCCGTTGCCCAATATTAATGGGCTGTTGAGCAGGTTAAAGGATACATACTTTATAAGTGGTATTAATTTGAAAGATGCTTTCTTTCAAATCAAATTAACGTAATCGTCTAAGGAAAAGACCACTTTAAAGTAATGCCCTTTGGCCTGTGCAACGGACCACAAACAATGAATCGGCTGATGGATAAGGCTATCCCTTCACGATTGCGGGAGAACGTCTTTGTNTTTTATGCTTACCGGCTTTTTAAATTCTTTGATGAGGGCGGCTTTCAGCTCGCCCCAAGAGTGAGCGTTCACCATGCTTAAATATAATTGTGCACTGCCAGTGAGCAAGCGGCGTGCCAGTAGGGGCCTTTCTACATCGTCGTAGCCATAGCACTCAGTTATATTTTCGAAGTCGCGGAACCATTTGAGAACATCTGCTTTGTTGTCGCCGCTAAACTTTACAATCGCATTTTCGATGTCAGAAAAGCTAACGGATAGTTGGCGTGCCGTTGCGCCTTTTTCCAACTCCGTTATTTCCTTTTGCAGTTTCAGAATGCGCAAGCGTTTTTCTAACTGCAACTCGAGTTCCGTTAGATCGGATGCGACACCGACGCCGACGCCGACGTCTGGGCCTAGTACTGAGGTATATTGATTGGTAGGGGCTGAAGTTCGCTGAAGGTTGGCTGTCTGCTGAACGGAAGTGGCGTCGCTGCCCATAACTGTATTACGGCTTTTTGCCGTAACGGAGGTATCGGAGGTAACGGAAGTATCGGAAGTAGCGGAAGGTTCACTATTTGCTACTGCTGAGGCTACGATTTCGATCACTGCTGGGTTTTCACCGGTTGCTGCTGCTCCTTGCTGAATGCCTTTTGTGCTTGGCGTTGGAGCACTTGTTCCGGAGTTTTGCTGCGGGCCACCACTGAGGTTGTCTCGCTTAAGTGGTTTTCGTCCTCTTGAGGGGCGCCTACTGCACGTGCCAGCAAACTCTTTAGTTGCCTCACGGTCGCTGTTTCAGGGGAAGGAATACCCATATCCCGCAATGCCTCAGCTATTTGCTGCTTCTTTGCCATTCTCTTTGGCTCGTAGAAATTTATTAATTTATATTTTTACTTAGTTGAACGAGGGTTGCGATTTCGCACACCTGATGCTGTAGAAGTTCACGAAGTAATGTCGTTTTATTTGCTTGCAGTATTACCATATACATATTTTGCTTAATCACTATTAGTGGTGTTGCCAGATACTATAATTTGTGGAACATGAATTATATTACACGGTGCTTAGACTATCGCAATATAATTTACATTATAAGGCGTTTACACTACTACAATAATCACGTTTTTTCAAATTTATATATATACACGTTTTTTAGAATATTAAGCTTAGGGATAGGGTAAAACCTTGACCGCCCGCAGACTGCCCGGGGTCCAACTTTGCATGGATTTTCCTCGAAACTAAGTCATGTAGGGCTGCAACTCGCTTCTGTAACTTCCCTACCGATCATTTCTCTGCTGGTAGAGAATATACGTCATTCATTACTACTCCTTAGCAACAACAAGGCGGCTAGTTCATATATGAATTCGCGCAGGTAGAGAATCGGAACTGAAACGAGCTACTGGACTAGCGGAGGGGCCGTACTGTGAAGACCGACTAAGTTCGCCAATTGGGGGGGAGGCTAACTCTAGCCATCGAATGTGAATAGAGTATCTTTTTTTTCCTCTTACTGTCCTTTTCACTGGGCGCTTTGGCGGTCGGGGACAAACCGCCCAGTATCCTCCCCGAGCATCTATATTCATAGGACGTTCACGCGCGCTCCCACCGGGAGTCGTGAACTGCCTGACAATCCGCACTCCCATTAGGATTGTCTTTTAGGAGTTTTGACGGGTTCTCCTTATCAAAATTTATAATGCCTTTCGGAGTTTTGACGAGTTCTCCTTATCAAAATGTCTAATGCCTTTCGGAGTTTTGACGAGTTCTCCTTATCAAAATGTCTAATGCCTTTCGGAGTTTTGTCGAGTTCTCCTTTAAGAAAATGTCTCTTGGCCGNGGAGTTTTGACGAGTTCTCCTTTAAGAAAATGTCTCTTGGCTCGCAAAGCCATAATGAATATAAAACAAAATAAATATATACACGTTTTATCCAGCCGCCGGACGGCTATAAACTCGCGGCCAAGTGTCCTTTTTAGGACAGCCTGCCCTGTGTTCTTCTTAGCGGTGTTGAACTAGTGGGGGGCAGGGTGTAAAGACCGACTAAGTTCGGCACTATGGGGGGTAGGCTTCTCTGGCCTAAAACAATAGAGAACCACCGCAACACCGGACTTGAATTTTTTTCCCAGAGTTTACTCGGTATAATTCTGACTCAAGCATTACGAAAAGAACGCTAACTCAACCCATACTTAGTCACAACCGGGATTGAGTTCCGAGTCTAGTATGCTAAGCAAACTCTAACCTAACTATTAATTCTTCTACCAGAAGTACGAAAACCACCTTGACTTACCGAAACCCGGAATTGAACATTTTAAAACATTAAGTTCATTGATTGCAAATACAAGAATGATAGGAGCCGACTCAGTACTGACTAAATCAGTAGACTTATTGTTCCGGAGACCGACTAGGCAAAACTGATGCACCCAGCATTACAAACGAATACTGTCGGGAAAATAGCTTAAGCATTAACTCCAGTGGTCCCGTATCATAGAACTAAAACTTATTGATGTACCGAGTCTGACGAACCCTAACTGTCACCTGACGTAACTAAGGGGTATTATTTGTTTTGCCCGGCTAATTACTAATTCTTTTTTTTTCTGAGACTCTATATCTCAGGGGTGAGTCGTGCCCCACGTTCTTGTGATTTTACCACCCAATTCTCTCGCCGGACGCCTTGCAAAAGACAGTTTTCCTGTTCGCTTCCGTGACGTGTCGGGAAGTGAAGCAGGTTTGTTATGGGTTAATAATATAAATACTTTATTCTTCGGTGTATAGCGCACCCGGTAGCGTGCCATAAATGTCACCATCTGATAATCTTTCTAGAGCGTTTGGCAACACCAAAACTGCATGGAATGTCTGCCATTTTGCGATAGCTGTGTTCCCTCCGGACGGGTGTCGCTAATTGTCACTAGTTCCTCAGGTCTGTTCGCCTACTTTTTTATGGTTAATAAAAGTTTACCAGCGGAGGCTAGTGATAGTTGGTGACAGCTGTCTGTAACTGCCGTCTTCACAGGATGGAATTTATAACTTGACACATCTGTTGGAATGTGGGGCACAATACATATCAGGGCTTATATCTTGGCATCTATTCCGATAACTTGGTAATTTGACAGCTATGTTTCCCTTTGTACTAAAACATTCTGGCGGAAACATTATCGATATTCCGATATAGTATGTGTGCCAACCGGCAACTTTTATCCACGGTGATACGGGGGGGAAAATTTGCTACAGTGTACAAATAAATAGTATCTGGCTGTGCCAAACGAATAGGAAAATTTTGACAAGTGAAAAACCACACAAACGCTCGTGCAGAAACTCTATTTTGTGTGTTGCTGAAACTGTTAAATTTACATCTATTTTATAACCTGCAAGTAACGTATGTTCTTTTCCAAATTTATCAGATTCCATTTTGATTTTCACTTCTATCACTGCCAACAATATTCTGCCTTATCCTGAGTTTCGCCCGATGATTGTTCATCCGCCGTAGTAAATACATGGAAACCAAAAGTGAAAAATGAACCGGTTCGGAATTGCACAACGGGGTCATGGTAACCCCGGACAGCCTCGAACATTCTTTTGACATTCCTCCTTGCACTGCGTCAAATTCCCGGTGGAAGAATAACGGAACCAGTCCAAATGACGCAGTGCCCGTTATTCTTACAACGGGAATAACTAATTTCCCGCAGTGCAAAGGTATAAAAACCCGCTGGCAACTCTGCAGTCAACCATTTACATATTTGTTTGACAACCGATACCATTCGGAACGGGTAAAAAACAAAACACAAGTAAATGGACCACCGTTGCTGTCGCGCGGCCTCGTGAAAATTTCCCCGTTTGAGAGACGCAGCGGCTACTATAGCGCTGCGCAACACCGGCGATAACAACGCCCGCCACATCAGCGGGGACAACAGCGCGCAACACCAACAGCAAAGCGCGCAACACAAACAACAGCAGCGCGCAATACCAACAACAACAACGCGCAACACCAACAGCAAAGCGCGCAACACCAACAGCAGCGCGCAACACCAACAGCGCGCAACACCAACAACAACAGCGCGCAACAGCAACAACCGCGCGCGCAACACCAGCAACAACCGCGTGCGCAACACCAACAACAACAACAACCCTCGCAGCTACCATAGCGCTGCACGACTCCTGCCACAACAACAACAGCAGTGCCATACCCAAGCCTGCTGCAACAGTGGGTGAGTCCTTCGGGCCTTAACTAAAGTTTTTTCTTCTTTATTAACAAACCACGAATTTAGAAAGTAAGCCCAACTATTTCAAGCCATAAGAAAAGAAAGGGGGTAAAACCCCAAGGACAATAGTTTTAAGAAATTAGAAGTAGGACCGAAATGTATTCAACAAAGTGTGATTGAATTTGATATGGCTCTCAGAAGAACCATGCTATAACGTCAAATTGATTTTCTTTTGAATTTTGAATCACTTGTTCACATTATTATTTTTTTCTTCTTTGCATCATAGCACCTTAAAAGAAAGCCTACCTCAGTTGTCAATCACACCTTGTTTAAGCCACCTGGCGTATATCTATACATAAGTTGTTTTCTTTTGTACCCGAGCGGCAAAAGAACGCTCAACTGGCTTATATTCAACTGTCTTATAATTTGCATTCACTTCACAACACTAGTGTCAGCTGTCAAAAAATGTGGACTGTTTGTGAAATTTTTGAGCAAAACATTTAACAAAATGAGTAATTCCGAAGAATCTTTGGTAAATATACATATATATATATTTTATAATAAATAATTATATTTAATAAGTGGTTGTATACTTTTTGTCCAGATCGTGTCAATATGTGTGGGCGAGCAGCGTGAATTAGGCCAGGCAAGAGCATGGGAAATCGTAAGCGAAATACTGGAAACCATATTTGAAAGTTCCAGTTCATCCTCTGAAGACTCGGAAAGCGAAAATGAACATCATGAGAAGTGTTCCAACTTTGAAGGTACTCTCGATGCAATGAGTGAGATGGACTTCAAAATTAACATGAGACTGAAACGTGAAACAGTGGAGTATCTAACAAGTAATAAATGCAAACTTTTTGAAACAAGCACATTTAGCAATTTAAAAAACTTTTCCTATTTCAGCGAAATATTCAATATCTGCGTTTCTTCCTGACCAGTCTGGTGGTGGTAGGTCACGCATTTCCCCCAAAAAGGCAGTTTATATGTATATTTGGTACATAAGCAACACCGTGACATTTAGGCAGCTAGGTAATTTGTTTGGGGTAGCCACT